ATTATTACTTTGATAAAATGCAGAATTTCATAAAATGACATTAAAAAAAGATTATATTGAAATAAACCCATTACAATAGCTATAAAATAAAACAGAAAACTAATCCAACCTATCCTAACATACTGGTTGCCTATCAGGGATTACAAAAAAAATTAATTGCAGAAATAGAATGCAGGTAAAGTGAATCAAACAATTTAGGTTAATTGGTCATGCAGTATGCAGTGTCCCCCACCAAACATCCTACACGTATGAGGTACACTGAATATCTATCGAACACAAAGCAGGAATTCAAGTACAGTTATCTAAATGACTTACCAATCCGCCGACCTGGGGGCACCACTAAAGCTAGAAATCCTTCAAAAAGTCCTATAAACTAATCTTATAAATCAAATATGTAACTGAAGTAAACACGTGTGCCCAAGGCCTACTCTGTTCTGCACAACTCCGCTGAAGAACGGAAGCTGCTAATTTTGCTGTCTGCAAAAAGTTTTAGTGTTAGGTTGTGAGCAAATCAACCTTAATTTTCTTTTATTTTTATTATTAAGCATTAAAAATCATAGATATAAAAGACTAGATGGGACATTGGCAGTGTTTTAGTGCGTGCGACTGGCCGCCATGTTTGTGAGGGCGGGAATCTGCGGCGCTGTGTAGGACATGCCTAAGAGCTGGACTTTTTGCACGCGTTCCCCGCCAGGGGGCGCCACTGAGGAAGCACCCTCTGACGTCACGATAAAACTGCGCGCACTGTGCGCACGGTTCTGTAAGCAAGTAATATAGTGGTGGTTTCATGGTGGAAATTGGAATAAGTATTTTGACGTTGTAAAATTTCAAGCCGTTTTTGTAAAATTAATTAGCAAATGCATTTCAAAAGTATTTAATTAAAGTGTGAAATGAGAATAATTAGAAGAACATGGATATTTTTGTTCCAATAGCTTATTATGTGAGACATGATCGGTACTAACGGGTACTTCTAAGAAGTAGTGAAGGAGTACCAAACAGCCTGCTCGGCTACGATCGTCAGCTGTCCTTTGGAGCTGGACTTCAACGCTGTAAAACAAAATATGTGCTGAATTAATTTTTAGTTTCACCAAAATATAAGCAATTTATCATTTCTTTTTCACTTTTGTAATTATTGTTGAGTGAAGAGACATGTTGCTAGTTCTGACAATATAAATTTTAATTAAAAAACCGAAATGCGATGGTAAGTATCTGCTACTAAATTATCACTGTAACCAAATACATGGAGAATCTTGCTGCCATTGCTTATAAAACGTGCTTATCAATACACAAATGTTTTATTTCAGACAAGAAGGATTTATTTGCCTGAAGTCTTGCGTCATGTGCTACTGCTTTGATTCCAAAGACGCTCTCCGGGTCGGGGTAATTTAGTTCTTCATCGATCGATAAGAGATTTTGATTCCATTGATATCCAAATTGATAAGCTCGGCACCATGGAGTAAGGGCATCCCCACAGGGGTGACGCAGGAAATATGAATGGCGTTTACACCGACAGTAGTTTCCCACAGCCGGTAATGGGAATCTCCTGTCGGTGTAAACGCCACTATAGTCCAGTCCCATCCAACTCAAACACTGGGGAATATCCCCGCACTTTTGAAGACGGAAATCTATGGACCTGCTCGAAAAAATAGTGGATAAAATACGGCGAGCTTTCAGTTTTATGGTTGGGTCTCCCTTCCGAGTTCCGAGGCACATATTTACGGGGGATATTGGGTCATATTTCCCCGGCGTCCTGATGATTGGCACCCAGCTCAACGTCGAAGGCGCCCTGATACGCGGCACTGCTATCTGTGAAGGTGCCCAGGTTGCTGCCGCTCGAATTTTGGTCGCCTACTTAACAAAACCTCCGTTGGTGCCATCTCAGTTTCCTCGAGGTCAGGCAACCTTCACACGCCGTTGGCTACCTTGGCTGGCCGGCGACTCGTTCCCCTCGTGGCGACGCTCTTGACATCCAGTCAAAAGTTGGAGTGGCTGGCGCCCCCAGTGGGGGCCGGGGAAGGGGCAGTGGGCCTCCACGTTGCTCTCTTCCCGAGCCTATGGTGACTTGGCTCAACTCTCCTCAATAGAATCTGGATTCTGCACGCTGTATTAACATGGGCGTAGACACCACTACGGACAATACGGACAGTGGGTGTGACAATCAGTAGTGCCATTCATATAGAGGGTGTCATATATGAGCGGAGAGGCAACAGTACAGCTGAGCGGAGAGACAACATTAAAACAACAGTACAGCTGGCGTTGCATGGAGCTGCAGGCAACCGGACAGCGGAGGCTTGCGAAAAATAAGCAATTCGTCACTTCAACGTATAAACAATAGTAAAAGCAACATAAACACATATTCTCATGGTCGAACCCATGCACTAGCGGCTCACGGCGGGCACAGGCACGCAGTGCGGTAGCGGTACCGGATCACACGACGTCATGGGCGTTGTCTCAGCATAGGTTGTTAAGAGCGGAGAGGCAACAGTGCAGCTGAGCGGAGAGACAACATTAAAACAACAGTACAGCTGGCGTTGCATGGAGCTGCAGGCAACCGGACAGCGGAAGCTTGCGAAAAATAAACAATTCGTCACTTCAACGTACAAACAATAGTAAAAGCAACATAAACACATATTCTCATGGTCGAACCCATGCACTAGCGGCTCACGGCGGGCACAGGCACGCAGTGCGGTAGCGGTACCGGATCACACGTCATGGGCGTTGTCTCAGCATAGGTTGTTCGCAATGTAGTTGAAGCCTAAGAAGACGGCCAGTGGGGTCTCACTGCTGCTGAGGCGACCTCGGAGACGATGCGTCGCCCCTCCTGTCGGCGACCTGCGGTGAGCAGGACTCCAGATAGCTGTCTGGCACGTTGCCGACACTGCCAGACGCTGTCAGCAGGCCTCACTGCTGCAAGTGATGTGCAGATGGACGCCAGGTGACTTCGTCTGCAGGCGATTCCGGAGACCGCGGCCTCACCAGGCAGTACCACCTGCATCGCCATGTCGGTGTTTCTAGAAATGGAAAAATAACAGCATCGGTGAAGGACAAGCAATACAATGTATTCTGTTTTCCTCTCTTGCAGGTATACGTAATCTACAATTATCATTGTTCCTATTTCATTCAACTGAACCTGAAAACTCCATATTGGCACATTGTTTGACTAAATTTGTGTAGTTGGGAACAGGGGCGACGCCACGGTGCGACGACTGGAGGGGACATTGACCATTTTGGAGGGGACGAGGACCATTTCAAGTCGATTCTTTCCATGCAACGCCATAGGCGTAATGTTAAAATTTTAAAAAGTGGAGGGGACGAGATCCCCTCCGTCCCCCCCCCCTGTTGCGACGCCCTTCACCCTTGGTTGGGAAGCAGATTGTTTGAAATACATGTTTGGTTGAACAGTGCGGAAAATATTTCATTGATCACTATAGCTGCAACAAAAATACACAGACAGAAAACATTTGCGCTTACCTGGCTCCTTAGTCAGTCCCGCACAATGGAAGTGGTACCATTTATTGCAGCCGTCGCATCTGACCATCGGTGCTGCACTGATGCTGCTGCACTCCCCACATTCCCAGTACCTTAGGAGCGTCTTGGCTGTGAAAAGATTACATGAGTCATGGCGCATACATGAATAGTCAGATGTTTTATATGTTTAACATCGCATAGCAAAGACACAACAGCTGGGAGTCAAGTGTAAGCCAAAGTGTAAGCCCTGCCATGTTTTGCAGACTGGATTTTAAGCAAGAAAAGCTTTGCTAAGAATGATGCTTGACGAAGCCTCATCCTACTGGGCTGTCTGACATGTCTCCCTGTAAAAGGCATGTGGCCCTTATATTGTATATATGATGAATATGTTAATAATGCAGAGAAAACACAGTATAAATTATACCCAACGTTTCATCTTAATCGACTTTGTCAAGGGTGTTTGAACAGCTTGAGATGAGTGAAGTGTAAGGGTACCTAGGTACATCTGAAAATAAACTGAATCTGCGTTCAATAAACATTGATTTTGATAATACATTTCACAAATCAACTGCTAATAACAATCATACTAAAATAGCACGACAGATAACTAACAATCGCATGAAGAACTTCTCGATTCGCCACGAATGTTGTCAGCATTATAGAGTTCAGTGGTTGTCAGTTACACATTTGTCTTTCCTGCGCAGCATTTGTGTTTGCCATTTACCGCACCAATGTTCGCCAGCGGTGGTGACTTTTCCTTACCTGCTCACGAAACGTCACACAGGACATGACGTCACCCGAAGACGTCATCAAAAAGTCCAGCTCTTAGGCGTGTCCCGCTGTGTAAACACTACGGGAGGAGGGGGGTATTTGAGACTGATTTTGTGGTATTTTTCGACCGAAAAGTGCTAATCTTTTTTGCTCACGGCATTCTTTGGAATGTGTAGATTGTGGAACAAGTGCTGAAATATGCTTATCTATTGTAATTTGGCTACGTTAGCCTTAGACATGTTGCACTGTTGACGCTGATGAAGAATAGGCGGCACTAAAGGTAGATTTGCTTGGCATGCCTGTTTTAGATTTAATTCAGTTCCCATGTTTTTTTTTGTGCACACCACAATCCTTTAATTATTCTTGCATGGATAGAGCATCAGTCATATGATTTTTGACAGAAAGCTTACCTAGATAGGTACCAGAACATTGGCAGCGGAAAGCAGACTCATTACCTACACTTGCTTTGCCTGCTCACTTTCTACTGTTGCCTTCAATGGAAATATTTATGAAGTAAGAAGGTTTTGTGATTATAGGTTTTAAATAAGTACTTTACTTAATGTCATCAGTTAGTATTAAATAGTAGTTCAGTGCGAAACGAAAAATCCATGCACTATGCCAGATGCCTCGGGGGCTCTTATCCGCTCTGGGTTCAGAGTGCAGTGGCATACCACGCTCACCCTCAACCAGAGCTGATAGATAGTGAAAATCAAGGCCATATATAGTAGGTAGCGACACTGAGCGATTTGTTTACAGCCAGTTTCGATCCCGATGACGCAAATGTGTCGTCACGAGCAAAACAATATGGCCACCTCTAATGAGAACCAAGTGCAATAAGTTCCCGGATGTAGACAGCACTGACGTCACCGGGATCGAAACCGACGACATCAGTACTGGACCTATGGCGAAGCAAAGTAGTGACATCCCCCTGGTGAAAATGCCAGACTTCGTGATATCTGCACCAGTGAACTGTGTCGCACATTTGATCCCAATAATGAACAGCACAGGGGTGACGTAAAAATGTGCGTTAGTTGGAGCACCTAAACTCAGATTGTCATTACCTAATTAGTTTTCACATTGTAAAGCTTAAACTACACTTCATGCTCTTTTGGCTCACCTGTTATCAGTATCAGTAAATAGGGTATTAGTAAATCTGGCGTTACCATCAATGCTAAGTGCTAACAAGTAAATATGAAGTCCAAGGAAGATAAAAATCATAATCTTACTTGACCTAACCTTACCTACTAACCTAACTAACCTACAACCTACAAACCTCAACCTACATACAACCTCCATACGTACAACCTACCCACCTACAACCTACCAACCTTATATGTGCCGACGGTGGCACCAGATTTATGGATACCCTTATTTGTTAGGTACTTCACTCCACTTCTCATTTTATTTGAAGCTCATTTAAATTCTTGTATTTAAGTCTGTGTAAACTATTATTTTAAAAACCTGATGCTTTTCCATGACTGTAATCTCACTGTTTGCTATGTGTATTTTGTAGTGTGTACTGTGTGCAAATCCAGTATCCTACACTTGTATGCTACAGGCCTTGTTTTGATCTGACTAACTGTTAATATGTTTCAGCTTTAAAGACTAGTATCTTTTGAAATTGAAATTTGCCTCTCAGTCTCTCAAGAATCAAGATGCCAAATAGATGTGCAGGATTTGATTGCTGACAAACCAGGGATGAGGCTCAAGAGTCAAGAGATCACCCTGCATTGGCAAGTAAAAGCTACAGACTCTTGATTTTTTATATTGTTACAGGTTATCTGTCACCGAGAGCGATTGCTGTAGTTCAATTTCTTGCATCAAAATTGGCAGAATATGACTTCACTGATCACTCTGACGTCATTTACGGCCGACCTATGGTAGCTACACAATTTTTATTTCTATAAAATGTTTCAGATTGATGCAGCCGAAGGTACTGCAAGTTTCGTATTGACACGTCTAGTGGTTTAGAAATATTGCAACAAATATATATTTTAATTTTTTTTTTCAATATATAAATGTAAATATTTTATTGCAGAAAACAGGAGAGGGGCTCTGTAGAGCCCCACCCTCCAGTCATGCGTGGGTAAAGGCCCATCAGTCACTAAAACCAGAATAAGTGCAAAAAATTATTACCAAATGCCCGGAGACTGCTTTACCATTGCCAACATGTGTATGTGTGTGTGTGTGCGTGTGTGTGTGCGTGTGTGTCAACAATGTGTTAACAACAAATACAACACAATTGTGCCTGGCGTATGTTAACACTAAACACTATTAGCCATATTTTATTGATACTAATCGAACCTTCCAGGTGGCTGGAACAACCCCAGTGCCGCACAGTTCTGCGGGATATTCCGGCACCTGCTCCACCGCTGCGGCGTCTGGCCCGGCAGCACAGGGAAAGTGGCAGCCCTCGACCCGACCAGCATCCTGGCAGTCGGTCACACGACCAGCGGACGGGGAGCCAGCCTTACTACCTCGGCCTCCACCACCTCAGACAACGGTGCCACGGCACTCCACATCATCACGGAGCGCGACTTCCAGCCTGGGCTGTCGTCTGGTGGGCAACATCGTCACCTACATCGCAGGGTTCGTGGTGAAGAAGGCGCTCGACTCTGTCAGCTGTAGCACCTGTCAGGAGGCCCTGGTGAGCGACATCCAGCCGGACGACATGACACAGCTTTACCACCTCTTCATCATCTCTGCCAGATGAGCTAAGGTGGGGACGGGTTACATGCCTGGGATCTGACTGAGACCCGCTCATACCCTGCCGAAGTGTTGGTGATTTCAGCGGTCAGCTGTCTCTAGCCGGTGTCAGTGAGTGGCGGCCAGCTGCCGCTGGAGTGGGTATCTACCGTCGATAGCTGCTGTGTGGCGGATAGCGTGGATTTGGATGGACACTTCATATTAATGAACAGATCAATGTCTGGCCGATAAAAGACGTATTTTGTCGATGATTGCTTAGTGACTGAGTGGGTCCACTGGCGACCAATGCAGTGGGCGCTGGGTTAACGCCTCGCCTCTTGTGACCGTGTCGATATGTAGCACTGTTAATTGCCGATTCGTTGCCGGCCGTCTCTGCTCCGTGGCTGGCTGATCCGGCACAAACTGGTGTTCGTGGCTGAAGGCGCGGCTACAGTTACACTAGCTCGCCACGTGCCTGTGCGACTATCGTCGGTGCTGTCTGCAAGGGCGATGTCGGTGCCTGTAGGGGGCGCGGATTGATTCAAAGTGAGGAATGGGTCATCGGAGCTCGGGTCAGGTCATGTTCGGCTAAAATAAGCGGATTTTGCGATTTGCCGCATCCGGGTGAATTTCCTTGCCTTCTAGTGCATGTTTATGCATTTTACATGCGTTTCTTTAGTGTTGATGTCTAGATAACGTGCATTTGCCTCGAGGTCAAGGCTGCGCTTCATATGGGCAGTTTTCGGAGCATCTTGCTCATTTTATTCGTAATCCTTAATTATATGGGCGCAAAATGACCTTGTAGTCGGCGCGCCCTTAAGCCCCAATAAACAAACAAAATCCTTAATTATGTTTGCGGATTTGTGCCCGCAAATCATTTTTTAAAGTAAGATTGACACGGGATTCGAGATCGGCGCCCATAAATACACTTCACATGACCCGCCATGTGTCAAGGCCATCCGAGGTCATCTAAGGTCGCTGACCTTGTATGACCTTATGTGACCCGGTTCGCTAGATTTCGAGATGAGGTTGATTGGGAATGATGTAACCCATTTCGCCGACAGTTCACGCGTTTTGGTCGATTTTATAGCGAAAGATCTCAAACTCCAGTGACTTTACTGGTTCGATTTCCAGTGTTTGACCCGACCTCTGAGTTCACCCGTTGACCTAGTACCCTGCAATTTGGTATCACTGGTTTACTCACATCGCGGACAGCATACCTATTTTTTTCCGTTCTTGCTCCGTCGAGGGGCGAACGGCTGGAGTTCACTCCGTTCACCCTGGCTTCCCCTACTCGTAAGACGCTGACAAACTACGAACGGGTGAGGGCTAAAATTGCACTTATTGTCGATCATTGTCCATTGCATACTGCATACATAGATATAAAGTATGGTAGCCATAATGGGAAACGAATTTTATCTTAAATTAGCATGCCAATTGCATCTACCTTCGGTGCCGCATATCCTTTATCAGCGTCTTCAGGGCTATATGTCTAGGGCTGATGTAATTACATTACTATAAATACACATGTTTCTGCCCTTGTTTCACAATCTACTCATTCCAAAGAATGCCATAGGTAAAAAAGATTAACACTTTTCGGTCGAAAAATACCACAAAATCTGTCCCAAACACCCCCCTCCTCCCATAGTGTTTACACAGCGCCGCAGATTCTCGCCCTCACCAACATGGCGGCCGCTGCTACGTATTCGCGAGTCGCTCCCGACATGGGGGTGCCCTATCTAGTCTTTATATCTATGTTAAAAATGTTCAAATTTGTTGTAAATTTTTATACTGGTAAAATGCTTATCACAAGGTGAGCGATAGCAGATTTATTATTGAACAGGATCTTCTTGAAACTGCTGCGCTATCGACGCCGCAAGAAACTGATACCATATGAGAAAAACTTTTAATTTGGTAGCATTTTACGAAGCCACTATTCCCCCCCCCCCCCCAAGTAAATCGATCAAATCAACTACCAAGTAGACAAGCTAACAACGCTTTCGGGCACCAGGCCGTATCCTCGGGCCAGACCAGCATGAAGCAAATAGCTCTACTCTATATAAATCCGGCAGAGCTAAACCCATGATCTGTCATTTCCAGCAGCTGGGGAAACACAAGTTACTGAGTCATGACCGAACCATCGTGATCGTGATCATTGAGAAGTGATCACACTTCCTGTCCCCGGTTCCACTAGCGGGGCCGGTCCGTACGGCCCGCAGTCGACCGGCCGGGCGGTGGGGTAATTCCGAGTTCCAACTTCCAACCGCAATAACCGCTTCAGCGCCCTTCCCAGTTCCCTGGCCAGTGGCCACGCCCCAGCGTGATGGGCTCAGCCGATGGCGTTCTAGCACAGCTGAAACAGCCGAACAATCCCCTATCCTTCCACACCTGACCACGTAATGAATCGCGGCGAAAACTTCTGGCTGCCTGGCTCAACCTCTTGGAAGCGCCAGACTGCGGTTTCGACCGTCGGGCCAGTCACATCCCAAAGCCACCACTTTGCACCTACTCTGCTTATTCGGCGTCAGACTGGACGGTGGTATTCTGGAATCATAACTGACCACAGTAATCATTCACACATCGAATCATTCGAAACTGAACTTTATGCATGGTGTATTTCACATGGAGCAGGTTACGACACCAGCAACAACAATGCTTGTATTTCAGTTTGATAAAGGCGGTCCACCAAGTCGTCCACCAAAACATCCCTCTATACCTCCCCCGCAGTTCACCACGCCAGCCCCTTCAAAAGACACACAGATGCGTCACGAGTGCACATTCAACTACGCGGCGCCCGTGGTAGTCTGTTCGCCGCTAGGGACACTCACTCAGTAGCTATCGTAGTGCTGTAGGCGGTAGAGAAGCGCGCGGCCCTTATTGTTACCCACGGTCAGGTAGCCACTGCTCAGCGAGAGGTCCAAACTATGCGGCTCCTGCACGGCAGTCGACCAGCCGGGGAAGTTGGAAAACACAGTCATCGACGGCACGTGAACCAGCTTGACGGCGTGCTCCTTCTGCGAGGAGGCCATCACCAGCAGCTCTGCAGTGACGTTAAAGCGCAGCTGGTCGCAGGTGGTGGTTAGTTGATCGAACACTTTAACCGGGCGGGGGTGGGAGGCGCGTCGCGCCGTCGCCATCTCGTACACGTTCACTATGCCGGAGGAGGAGCCGCACGCCAGCAGGCGGCCGTTGGGCGCGCACGCCAGAGACGTGCCCGACAGGCAGCCCTCGTCGTCGAACCGGTGGCAGCAGGCGCGCGTCGACATGTCCCACTCGTAGACACGGCCCTCGTCGGTGTGCGTGAACAGACGGGTGCCGTCGGGGGTGAAAGCCAGTGCTGTGACGCGCCCACTCGCCTGCAGCGTGTCCACCCACTCGTGGGTGCGGGCGGATAGCAGGTGGACGGCGCCAGCGCGCGCTCCGGGCACCGCCAGCCACCGGCCGTCGGGTGACATCGTGAACTGCGGCACGCCGCGCAGTCCCAGCCGCCTGCCGGCCTCCACGCGCAGCACGCGGCCCGCCATCATGTCGTAGCAGAGCAGGTGGGCCGCGTGCTCGGAGCCGGCCATCAGCTGGCCGCCGTCGCGCGTAAAGTGGGCGCACTGCACACGGAACCCGTCCAGGGGCACCTCCTGGATCAGCGGGTTGTCGACGCCGTCCACCTGAACGAGCGCCAGCGCCGGCCGGCCGCCGCCGCCGACCAGCGCCACCTGAGAGCCCGGGTGGAACTCGAGAGCGGTGACGGTGCGCGGCCGCCGCTGCACGGCCGCAGTCAGAGGCGCGCACGTCTTGGTCAGCACCGTGCCCTTGGCGAGTCGCGCCGACCGCGCCGTGGATAGCAGCCGGCCCGTCTTGGTTAGCAGCTCGCTGTCCTCTTCGTCGTCGCTGTCCCGGCGCCGTTTGCGATCGAGCTGCGCCCACTGCGGCGCGCCCACCACGGACGTGAACCGCTGTTCTAGCGCTGCCCGGTAGCGGCCAGCCGGCGCCACGGCGGCTCGGCGTTGGTCTTGCGCGAATGTTGCCTCTACCTGGGCCACTGTCACCTGCTCATCATCATCATCGACCCAAGCAGGTTGTCGCGCCATTGGCTTCTCCTCTGACTCCTCCTCCTCACCATCTTCATCATCAGAAGCAGTGTGACCACGCCTGTCCAGACACAGAAGGCCATCTGCTTCTGTTTCTGACAAATCCTCCGACACTGGAGATGCAGGCCGCTGCAGCTGTGACACTAAATCTGTCTCCAGTCCAAACACCAAACTCTCCAGCTTTTGCTCATCAGCATCTTTGTCTGCTTTAATTGGTGTTTCCATCTTGGCCAGTTTCTTCTTCTTTTTGGCCTTTATTTCCACTGGAGCTGGTGCCTCTGGTGATGATTCTCTGGCAGACATAGGTACTCCCTCTTTATGAGTTTGTCATGAACCCTGAAACAGAGGTCAACAGTCAACTTCTCAAGAAAAACATCTTAGGTACCTTTTAATTTTTTACATTTAGGCAAATATTGTGTAAAAAGCAAAACATTTGAACTTGCTCAACCTTATTGAATAATTGAAATTAAGCTTTGCACACATTAGAAACAAAAGAAGGAAATATTTACTCAAACTATCATCTTACAAAGATAGGTAGACCTCTCTTGCACAAAGACCAGCCCCGGATTTGCAGTCTCCTCGCACGAATGTCTATGAACTTGGCAACGTATTTAGATTCAGATTCCAATTCATGTTCGCTATTGATAGTCTGCAGAGGCAGACCATTAGGAATTACTTGAAAACGATTCTGACTTGTCTCTGTGCAAGAGGGTCCTATCCTCATCCAGACGATAGTGATAGGGCGAGTCGAAATGGTATATAGGGCCTTGGTCGAAATATGCATCTCACTCAATTTACTAAGACTGCTAAAACTTAGGCTGCAACTTCCCAGAAAACATGATGACTCATAAATATAATAGTCATTGGTTCGGGACAAAATAGTGATTGGTTCACCGTTCAATTACATGGGAATACCCAAGATTCTTATAGATAGGAATACCATCAGGGACACGCCTAAGAGCTGGACTTTTTGATGACGTCTTCGGGTGACGTCATGTCGTGTGTGACGTTTCGTGAGCAGGTAAGGGAAAGTCACCACTGCTGGCGAACATTGGTGCGGTAAATGGCAAACACAAATGCTGCGCAGAAAAGACAAATGTGTAACTTCAGTCTTCAGACAACATTCGTTCGGACGAAACCAAGGGACGAAACAAGAAGTTGAAGTTCTTCATGCGATTGTTAGTTATCTGTCATGTATGATTGTTATTAGCAGTTGATTTGTGAAATGTATTATCAAAACCAATGTTTATTGAACGCAGATTCAGTTTATTTTCAGATGTACCTAGGTACCCTTCCTTACACTTCACTCATCTCAAGCTGTTCAAACACCCTTGACAAAGTCGATTAAGATGAAACGTTGGGTATAATTTATACTGTGTTTTCTCTGCATTATTAACATATTCATCATATATACAATATAAGGGCCACATGCTTTTTACAGGGAGACATGTCAGACAGCCCAGTAGGATGAGGCTTCGTCA